CACACGAAGGGTTCTTTTGAAGGGGCTTGACAAAAAGAAGGTTGCGGAAGGTCGATGAGAAGGGGAATATTCCCGTCGTGAAGTCGTGACGGGAGATCCAAGAAAGTGAAGTCGAAAAACAGGTAATGAAAAATAGGCGATAGAATAAATGGACCAAGAAAAGTCGACAAAAGCAAGCGCGGCCGTCAGGGAGAATCTACATTGGAGTAGAGCTCGAACGAGTAATGCACTTCGCAGGTCGGACAATCGACGATCGACGTTGAGCCTCGACATCGTCGTCGTCGTCGTCGATATCGCAGAAGCTCCTTGGAATACCCTAAAATGGGGGGATACTTCATCAACAACCCAGGGACGACAAGAGGGGGGGAAAGCAGAATAGAATAAGGGACGTACAATGCTGTTACGGCTCCCATTGACCTCCTCAAGACTCCCATGGACCACAGTATCCGACTTGGAAACAGGACTCATCTCCATCGCGTCCACAGACCTCGTTTTCTCAATTCCATCGAAATCGGTGTCGTACTCGATATGTACGGTGACTCCATTGCGACTGTTGCACTTGATTGCCAAAAAAAAAAGTAAGCGGAAAGCATTTTGCAAGGAACCGTACGTCACTCACTCGACGGGTTGAGCCAACTGTAGTTTGAAAATTGATGACGTTGTTGCTGTCAGTGCTATTCCAACCTGCTCCCACTTCACGGATCAGTTGTCGGGCGTTGAGAGTGGCGAGAAGGGAGTTGGCGTAAACTTATTTTGAGGTAGAAGATGGTGAAGGTTAAGTCAGTGCGACATGTGAAATGTGAAGACAAAAAAAAAAGGTGACTTACGTCGACCGATTGCGAAGAAGAAAGTGATGTATATAAACGTTGTAGGAGCTGCCAGTATCTAGTGTAATCAACGAATTAGCATCTGTTCAAGAATGATTTGAATTTCATTCCTGCCACTCACCGAGATCAAGGATGCGATGGCGCAAAGGCTAGGAACCGGGAGAATCGGGAACGTCAATCAAAATTTAATTGACCGGGCCAATTGAGGTACCACCAACGTACGTTGTTAGAAGACCGGTGTTGACAGTATAAGTGATCTAAATCGATGTTTCAGCACCGGGAAAGTAACGACAACATATGTAAGATACTTACCAGTTTTCCGATCATAGCATCAGAGCTAAGTGGTCCCAGGGAGTGAGGCGCGTCAGAACGGCAGGCAAGACACGGTTAGAGACACGACACAGACCTTTGGAAGCCAGTGCGGGATGTTCTGAGGAGATATGAGAGGGAGCCAGTTATATAAACGTCGCCCGCTGCAGCGAGAGCATTGACAGTAATAGAGAGTGCCTGTATGGAACCGGTAAATGGAAATGTTACGAGATACAAACGGGCTGATAGCCTTACCTTCATTGTAGCAAGGTCCGCGAATGTTTTGACAGACACTAGACTGAGATGAGACGACATGAGTCGAGACGTAACTGAGAAGGGTATAACCCGAATAGACTCACGCTTTGATACCAAAAGCTTTACGAGGGGAGAAGGGATTTAGCCGCTGTGCATTTGCGAGAACGACGAAAGAGACGGACCGAGGATGCAACCTGTTCAAGACGCGATCAGCTAAGGGCAAGTCCATAAACAGACGAAAAAACCACCTACCAAACTCTGCAAAGACCAACAGAAAGGCCGGAGCGACCAACCAGACGTTCTTCTTACTCACTAGACACGAATAATCGATAAAAGAGAAAGGGACTAAGTTGCGGCGTAGAAGAATGGCGGAAACATGACGTACAACGCCAAACCCGAATCATAAGGAAGCTAAATATCAAGCGATCAGAACTTGCTACGGACCACGTATTGCTTTACACACCATTGAACGAGGAGTCCAATAAAGCCCTGGTGAGACAATCGGAACGTTAATACCCAATAAAAGGTAATGTGTCTATTGAACTTGCATTAAATAAGACCTCCGCCTTTTGATGTGTCGGATCAGAATCATTGAATAGGAACCTTCAAGAAAATAACATACTAATAGACTCCTGCAAAAGAGTAATTTGGTCAGCAGGTGATAGTACTCGAACCACTTGAGTGACGTACCAAACTGTCATTCCGAGAGTCAGAGGCTTTCCGTAGTTTAAAATGACATATGTGTAGACTGCGAAGGGAGGAGTGATATTAGCGCCGCGTAACGATCGAGATGTAAGGCGCACGGGTATGGGATATTAGAATTTGATGGATCGTATCGCATAGCAGAACCGTTGCAACCTGCACAGTAAAGTGTCGGTGAGGACTATGAACTTGAAGAACCACGAACACTCACCAGGGTCTTGAGAGGCCATTTGTCTCGAGAAGGAGTTACGAAGAAGTAGACGTAAGCTTGAACAAATGACACTAAGGCGAAGGATCAGTAACTTGTCCTGCGAGTTCATTCTCCGCAAAACTCACTCCCGTAGAGACTAGAACGTAGTACCACGTCAGAGCTGCCTGGTACGAGCACAAGCGGGACGCAACCGGTACTCACAAGGTTGCAAACACAACGCCAATAAACACTGCACCCATTCTAGTGAGAAGTGAGCCTGAGGGGCGTTCCGGTCAATGTAGACGACTTACGTCTCTTCCATTTGCTTTACCGGTATGTCGAGATCTTGACTTTCCGAGGTGATATATAGGCTGAGTGGGAAGGCGGTCATCGCGGCAGAGGACAGTGAGGAATAATCGCGGATGAGGGAGTGTCCGAAGTTTTTTTTGTGGAGGTGGAAGTGGGGAGAGAAAATGAAAGGGATCATTGAGAAGCGCTGTATATAAATCGATTCGGATTACCTACGAAGGGGGCGCGGCTTGTCACTTAAGGAACGGCAACTAATGTAGTCTATTACTTACTAAATCTAGGTCCTGGGAACCACTTCTCCAGCGAAAGCTCCCTCTATCCTTTCAGATTTAGCAAGAAAAGGAATTTAAAAAAAATCAGGGCCGGGTTTTGAGGTTCATGAGGGCCCAAAAATGATTTTTCGGGGGATTCTTGAAGCCGGAGACTGGATGCTCAAAGCTGGCAAAAAATCTCCAAGAAAAGACTGACAGAAAAGCCATATGTACATGAGGATTCTGAAGCCCTTCTAGCCCTTCGCTTAGGGAGGCGAAGAGGATGATGATGGTACGACGATAACCCCAGGGCGCAGTCACAGAAAATGTGACCCGTGACAGTACGCGTCTCGTCTCTCACCTTCACCCCCATCTTAGTTTTTTTTTATCATTTTGTTCTTTCTTATGAACAAACTAACTTACAGAACTCTCTACCGGTACCGGCACTGTGGTACATTGACAAACTTTGACTTTTTTACTTCGCCACGAGGTTCTTGAGGTGATTATCGGGGCCGGTTTGAAGTTCCGACAACCTTCGTGGGCTTTCTGACCCTTTTTTTTCACTCTTTTTTGCCTCATGCAGCTCTCTATAAGGTGGCATCAGGCTCCGACATCGCTGACAGAGATTTCGTCATGCTAGGGACGGAGGGCCAAAAAAAACCTCGTCACACCTTGGAAGATGTCGGCCAATCTTCTGGAAGTTCTTCCACGGAAAAGTCCAGAGAACCTTCATGGCTTCAGGAAAATAGAGACGAGCGCTACCAAGATCCAACACAGATTCAAGCCAGTCGCGGTAACCGCCAAACCGCTCGTTCATAGGTAGCTACACTCTCACCTATGCCGCCGCTACCAGTTGCCAAGCGTAGGTAGGTTTCAAGGCTTCATGCTTTCATTCGTATGTCGTCGGCAAGTCAAAGCGAATACCAATACTTTGGCGTCGAAGTGGCGTTTTCTTTCTCTTACATAACTTGAAGCTGGGAATGCCAGGTGGAGGAAACGGTGGGACAAAGAAGCCCGCGTGAGTGATTGGAAATTTTCTCTATCCCCTAGAGGAATCCAGAGTTCTCCCTCTCTTCAGGATGTGCAAAAAGTTCATACAAAGGCATCACATTGCTTGATCTCTAGATTCCACAAAGCGACGATGGAGGGCCGGCGTGAACGTAAGTTTCGCGAGCACGTTTCCCTGCTTCAGTCTTTGAGGCGCATTACAAGCCTCCCCCTCATTTTTAGACACTTATCGCGCAGTCATTCGACGCGTTGAATCTCGTCGAATAATGAAAACCCTCAACCTCCAGGACTACTCTTGCGAAACGCGCCATTAAGTGTTTGGGGAGGCGGAGGTCTAAAAAATTCCGTACGTGTCTCGCTCGAGGAACACAATACGCGTCCATCGCGTCAGTCTCGATGATCGACAATTTCACAAAAAAACGGCATTTCACGGTTTTTTAACCGTGTGGATTTTCAGGGCTTGTAGGAGCCTCATTGAACAACAGAACATGAGCGTGAATATGTCATTGTTCTGTCGGTCAATCGGATCGGTTGCAATTACGCTTATAAACAGGCTAGCCGCCAAGTAGCTTCTCGTTGAAATTTTTCAAAGGGGGGTCGTTTCGACGTCATTAAACCATACGAGCTCTTAAAATCCTTGTTGTTACTCAGAAAAGCAGGTATTGGACCCATGATACGAATCCACCTAATGTCAATTAGCTCATGCGGACACCTTAGGCGGCCAGTGTGAGTTCAATCAAACCTTCTCTGAGTTCAAAAAAACGGGGTTCGCGTCGCTCTCACTTTGGGGGGTAAGGAAAAGGTCAGAAAAAAAAGCCGACCGTACGATGAAACGAGCGATTTTCGCGGTACAGCCTAACGAAATTGGAAAGACCTTGAATGGGGGAAAAGGGACTTTCGGAATGAAAAGGAAGAGAAGCTAGCGGGTAGCGACGCTTCGCCCGACGATTCAGAACTTCCAAAGTTAAAAAGGAATTGTGAGAAGGGGGAAGCCCTGAGTTTTTTTCTGGCCTTCTTCTTCTACCCTTGTGCTGTTTTTCAAACGGTGCTCAGTGTATCTTGCGTTTATAATGTCAGTTTCATATGGTTGTCCAGGATGGCGCTGATTTCGTGGGAGATATAGAAACCAAATTTGCTAACCTGATATATACACCGTTGGTGAAGTGGTTATCATGCTTGCCTTCCATACTTTATGCCCCGGCATTCATCTTAGCAAGCGGCTCGGGTTCGATTCCCGAACGGTGTATGATGTTTGTACATTGCCCTCTTTTATTTTTTTAATACACGTACGTATACACGGTCGCATCCGAATTTGGTTGGCTCTCCAAACCCTGCTGCACTTTTCACCAGTCATCAACAACAGACAGTGTAAAAAAAAAGAATAGGCCTTTACGGGATGAGGTATGGCTATACACACGAGGATGGCAGTACTACTAAGTAATAGACGGACGGGCATGATAAATTCCAAGAAATCATCACCAGATAGATGTTTCAGGTTCAGAATCTCCGTTGCTCTCCACCGAGCTGTCCACTAATCTCCAACTACATCACCTCCCAAACTTTGGTGTCTCGAAATAGATTCAAGATGTGAACTAGCTCATTTTGGGCCGAGACGTTATCGTGGTAGACGATGATGTAGTAACTCGTCCGGCTCATCCAAGTCCTTCGCATTTCTCTCTTCTCCCTCCAAGCATGCGACATATATCTTCTTCCTCGTTAAATTCTCCTTCCCCCCTTCCTCACCCTCATCTCTCTCCTCCCGTTTCCGTTTAGTAGCAAAGTTCATTCTGTTCAGTGGACCGCGAATCGCGAGATTAGTTCTAGTCGAACCCGCGGATCCCTTCGGACACGGTGTACCAGGCCCACTAGTACCAGGAGCTGAAACCTCCACATCGCTTGGTGTATCAACGCTCGCTAAAGTCGTTAAAACCTGAGGTAACACCTCTTCTTCGTCCGAAGGTGCAGGGCTGAAGATGATGGACTGAAGTAGCGTTGAAAGAACTGCCTCAACGCCATAAGATTACGCGAGAAGGTTCAAAGAGTAGACTACGAACCTGCTGGATCATGTTGAAGACGCGAATTTCCTCGAGGAGGTGTAACGGTTCCGTTGTGGAAAAGCGTCAAGGCGCGATTGTTGCTGTTCATACGGATTTTGGGTTCTTTGATCTTCAAAGCGCGACGAACTACGGTGGGAGGTGTCTAGAAAAAGGAAACTCCAGGGTAAATCTCAACAGCGTTGGTAGTAACCAGTGCTCACTCTAGCCATAATTCAAGCTAGATGCGTTTTGTAAGTGCTTGTGCCAATCGATCAACAAGTCGTTCTTCGCTGTACGTGGTCGGATTTGAGTCGAGAAGTGTCAAAACTACTATGGTGAGAGAATGTGCCCTAAGAGAGGTAATACAGTATTGATCTGATGATAGTTGAAGATCAAGAAGCAATCAGAGCTTTGGTTCGACTTCCTCCCGTTTTGCGTGGAACTTCCTTAAACAAACCACACGTGCCTCCATGTTGAATCCTCTCGTGAATCATGACTACTGGTCGACAACGCAAAGCTCTACGGAGAATATATGGAAAGAGGATTCCTTGTCGCGTATCCGAGTGAAATCAGGTTGCTGGCTGAGTCGAAGAGAAGGTGAAGGAAGGTGACGGATATTAAATAAACATGGCCAAGCGCTTTGACTGCGATATCTGTGGCTTGTATAATGAGTTTAACTATCGTTCAAGAAAAGAAGAGACTCACCTATAGAGTTCTCGCCTTCAGATTTTCGCAGGAATGCCCGCTTGCGGGTTTTTTGCTTCAGGTTGATGGCCTGAGGCGATAGGTGAAAACATCGGTAGGATTACGACGCGTCGCGTCGCGTTGCACGTGTCTTACCTGGGGTCAGGGCTAACCCTAATACTAGTAGTAAGGACACGAAGCGGAATAACCAGTGGTCCACTCTCTTGATACAATCGACACAAGGCTTTCGATACATTGAATACAAAACAGTAGAAATGTCAAAGAAACAGAGCAAGTGTTCCGAGTCTAAGATGAAGAGAATCGTTTGTTACAAATGCCACATCCAAGAAAAACGCGACGGGTATCTCGTACAAAGAGGCGGAGAGATCAACAATCGAATACCTCTTACTACCTCGTCCAAAACCTCCCATAAGCAAAACTCGTACCTTCAAGTCAAAAAACATCCTCATGAGCGCTTCGCAGCTCCTCCTCTCGTAGCCCCAGCGTCTGTACCTTAGTTGACCGAGAGACAACAGTCCCCGTAGTACAACGCTTCGCACTGCCCTTGCCAGCCTTCAAAAAGCCCTCCCCACCTTCCCCAGCCACCTCTCCCTTCGAATTCTTCACAACCTGTCGTCTCTTCTTTGCCGGCTGTTCATCACCACCTTCAGCACTCTCCACCAGATCAACCTTGAATGTGTACCGTCCTTGCTTTGACAAGCACGAAGACGCAACAGCATCATCGACCCGCGACCGCTTTTTAACGTTCTGAGCCCTCGCAGGAAGCTTGATAACAAGCCTAGTAGGCGCGCGCAAAGGCTCATCTTCACACACCCCCACACCCGCTTGGCCTCCACACTGACCTCCACGCTCAGGCGCAACCGATCGTATTGGACAACGACGAAGAGACACAGATCGCTGCATTTCCGGTACTTCGAGTCCAAAGTCAAAGTCATCATCACTTTCCGTGTCGGACCCGATTTGGTACGGACGAGGCGCCGTTTGAACTTTGACTTCGTCGTTGACATCCGATGTTGTGGCATCCGTTTCGTCATCGCCTTCGCCATCGTCAGAGTCGATCTCGATATATTCAATCGGATCCTCCAAAACGTCTCGAACGGCAGAGTAGGGTGGAAAAGGAGGAGGTGCAACGTATGTCAAACGGTCGTCCTTAACTTTCTTTGCCTTTTTGAGATTGACGACGAATGGAGGCTTTTGGACATCATCGACAGCTTTTCCTTTGCCTTTGGCCTCCCATAGAATTCTGGGCGGGCTGACGGGGGAGGTTGTTGGTGATGTGAAGCCATTGTAAGGTGTATTGGTGAGTAGAAGAGGTGTAAGTGGAGAACGAGGTACTGGGATATTATAAGCAGCCTTTGATGGAGACGGGGACGGGCCACCTGTTTGAAGTGCGAGTTGTATGCAAGAGCGGATTTTGAAATGAGAACAAGGAACGTACGGATCGGGGTGTTCTCCGGATCGTTGTCGGGACCAGCTTCAACGCTGTGCGCAGCACAAGGATTTCGTTCAGATCGAGTAGCCTTCTCCTAAAAAAGTCGTGGCAGATAAGAAATGGCTATCATGGAAGTGAACGTTCAACAACCCACTTTTTCCCTTTCCAGCTCAACATATCCTGCTTCTTCACTTCGCTCAAATCCACGCTTAAAGACAAGAAACTAAAACAACGTCAACATTTTGTATGCGACAACGAAACGGAACAGCTTACATAGGGTGTGGCATGGACATGATGAAAGGATCCTGAGATCCCAACGGAGGTTGTGTGGTTAAGAACGGCTTCCTCGGCCATCGTGGCTCTCCTATGCACAAATGATAGAGATTTCGGATAGGGGGAGGTAAAGATCGCGTGAAGGAGAGATGTGGGATGGTGGAGGAGAAGATGGAGCACCAAACAAAGGCTTGGTTGACTTTATAATACACAAATGGCCCATTTGTGGCATTGGAGCAGGTCAAAACGGCCATTGTTTCGACGAGCACCACGTGTTACGAGGTCCGTTATATTGAATAAGAGGCGGTGTCGATAGCTTGGGCCGTACAGGTCCACAAAGGCCCCTCCGATGTATGGACAATGGGCCTCCAACGCCAGGTATAGCCGTACGGCCGAATGGTACTTGCGCGAAACATTGGAGGTGAGACTGGGGAAATAGATGTCATGCTGAGTCTTCTCACGAAATGCTTTCGAAAGAGTACCAACTTAGAGAGTACCAGTCAGCCAAATGAGCGATTTTTACAAAACGCAACGCACTCAATCACAAATATACATCCATCTACAGACCTGCTCTGTTTTTTGGAGTTCATTTGGATAGTCTAGTACCACACCGCGGGTGGATATTGCGGTAAGGAAGCGACCGCGCCAATGGGACAGCATGAAGATTTGGATTTTCTAGTCAGACCACCGTATCCCACTTCGCGTCGTTCAACCGCTTAACTCCAGGCAGAAACTTCAAAAACAGATGAGCCTGCTTGGCGTTCTCGAAGTTCCCCTCAAGTACATTTTCACATCAGCGGGTTTGAAAAAACAATCTTCTGTGATGGGCCGTTCGGACGGTGAAGGAAATGAGCCTCTTTGCCGGTGCTGGAAACCAAAACCAACTCCAAAAAGCCAGTTCGATGAGGACCGTAACAAGAGGTCGAAAAGCAGGAAAACCGCGCGTAGCCGTCCACCAAACCCCGATGATTTCTCGTGCACCCTTGGAAACGGCCCCTCCTCCCTGTGAGATCCCTTTTCCCTTTTCCAAGATGTCACTCAACCACTCCCTTCCACTTATAAAGCAGATATGATTAAGATGAATTTTCGTACCGTGTCTTGCGGGTTAACATGAACGATAAGCTGAAGATCTTCTAAGCAGATAGAGAGGCTCTCGCTTTGACTCGCGTTGTCCCGAGAAGAATAAGAAGAGTAAGGTGTTGCACGTACTGAAGGAGGTCGAGGTATGGAATCGAAGCAATTATGCACCAGAGATCTGAGGCAGAAAAAAAATATCAGCGTCACTGACTTGGGCCATTGCCCAACTTCAGACGATGGAAAACACCTCGCAGATACCGGTAAGATACTGAGAAAGAAATCCGACCCACTGTGGCGAGCAGTTTATATCCCAGGCATTATCGTCGGTCATAGCTTCGGAGAGAGTAATGGCAGCGATCGGGTATAAAGACTGCCAGACCGAAAAACAGTCAGGAGTGAAAGTCCTTATTCCCACGCTTCAGTCCAAAATACATACGTCATTGGACCATCTATTACTACTGTGCTTGATCTTGGACTTGAGGCCTTCCGTGTAGCGTGAAATAAACATAAACATCATTGAAAATATAATTTAAAAAAGACTGCATTCGTAATTTTGGGTGCTCCCTGCAAGGCTCGAACTTGCGACCTCAGGATTATAACTCCATAAGTGGAGCTTCATACTACTCATATGAGACCTGCGCTCTAGCCAACTGAGCCAAGGAAGCGATAACAGTTTGCTCAAATTGAGTTATATATCATGTGCATCGCATTACAATGTTAAAG